CCGGGAGCGGATGAGGCTACACAGTGCTGCAGCGCTGTGGAGCCCCGGGACCCCCCACCCTCTCCCGCCTCCCCTGTCACTGGAGCAGCCTGGCTTCCAGGGGCAGAAGGGACCTGCAAGGAGTGGGGGCCGCTGTGTCTTTCAGCCCGACAGGGGCATGGCCACTAGGAGGATGCCACCCCTTTCTTCTTGACCATCTTGGATGGGGGTTGGGGACAAGGGGCAGCCAGACCCTCCAGCCTCCCTGTGCTGCTTGGAGCTGCCTGAACAGGATGAGTGTGTCTGCCTGGCACTGGGTCCCCACAGACCCCTCCTGCCCCCCCACTTTTAGAAACCACCCCTATGTCCCACCTGGCACCTCAAGACTTCAGCTGGGGTGCAGCCAAGCCCGACAGTGGTGGGGGCCTCCGAGTGCCGAGGGAGAATGACTTGGCCTCCCTGGCCCTCCGTTGTCTCGTCTTTAGAGTGGGATTGCCTAGAGCCAGGGCTAAGAGGCTGAGCGCAGACCAGACGGACGGGCACAGCGGCTGCCACATGGGACTCCAGCAAAGCCAGGGCTGCGGGGATGGCATGGGACCGGGCGGTGGCTCCGGTCCGGGGGACTCAGGGTTGCTGCGAGTCCGAACAAACCGGACCGGAGTTCACAACAGCGACAGAGGGGCCAGGCGGCCTCGAGGGGGCTGCGGGTCAGGTTCTTGGAACCCAAGGGAGCCTGGATGGGACTTGCTCGCTGCGTGACTTCACAGTCGCAAGCAAGCCAAGCGTGGGATCCCAGGCGGGCCGTTCCTCCTTCCCAGCCTCTTCTCCCTCTCTGGCAAGCTGCAGACCCTGGAGATGCTGACCGGGCCTCGCGGTCCTTCCGGGGCCACCTGCCGTGACCCGCGCAATCTGTCCGCGTGGGGACAGGGCCTGGACCCCCGCATCCTGTCTTTCTGGAGTCCAGGGGGGTCTCCTTTCATGTCACTGCAGGTGTCATCTGTGGCCCTTGGTGTGTGGTCCCCCACAGTTCCCGCCTTGCAGGAGGTCATCTCAGAGAGGGAGAGTGGAGGGAGGGGGCAGGGGGGCGTGCCGTTGAAGCAAGACCTGGGGGGCAGCAGGAGCAGATGAATGGTGAGGGGAGACTTCAGGGAGGGGGTGACATTCAAGGAGGCTTTAAAGGATGAAGAAAGGGGGCGCTTGGTCCCCCTAGGTGCCAGGGGTCTGGCAGGGAAGGGGAGGGCAAGAAGGTTGAAGCTGAGCAGCAGAGGCCTTGGGTACCAGGATGAGGAGCTGGGACTGCCCACAAGGGCAGTAGGGCGCAGGGGAGGGGTTGGCCAGGCTGTTGTAGAGGTTCAGGTGGGAGAGGGGAAAGCTCATATACGGGTCTGCCTTGCCCAACCCCGCTCCACCCCCATCTTCGAACGCACAGCTGGGCAAATTCAAGGGACTCCTTGGGGGGCCAGTCTAGCTCCTTCTGCAGTCATTCTTCCCAGGGGCTCAGTTTCCCCATCGCGGCCAGACATGAAAATAAGACAGAGCAAAACCCACTGCCATTCTGACTCAGAGTCACGCTGGGGCGGGGGGGACTGCCCCCGTGGCTTCCCATGACTGTCATGCTTTACAGGAGTGGAAAGCCTCGTCTTTCTCCCACAAAGCGTTTGGTGGATTCGAACTGCTCACCGTGTGGTTCGCAGCCCGACACTTAGTCACCACACCAAGCCAAACCCACAGCCAGGCGACTGGGGGCCCCCCAGTGGGACACCGTGGAGCTTCTCCCTGCTGGGCTCTGGGCTGTGGTCCTGATGGTGGGGGGAGGGGGGGCGTGCAGGGCTTTCTCCTGGGGGGCTGTGGAAGGGCTGAGGCAAAGGTTGGTACCTCGTGCCCTGATGAGCTCCGGCTTGCCTTCCGTCACCAGCACACATCATAGGTGCTTCCTCCTGCGGGGGTCACAGCCACGGTGTGCATCACCACCCCGCCCTGACCATCCTACATCCCAAAGCCCAAGGACTCAGAGGTGAGGCATGGGAGTCCCTGCCTCCATCTTTCCTGTTCCCCTTCTCTCTGGCCTTGGTTTGCCCGTCTGTAAAATGCGAATGAAGGCTGCCGTCTCATAAAGTTGCCCACAAATTAAAAAGCTTGGCAAAGGCAAGTATGGCCCCAACGTGAGAAATGACCTCCACTGTCCCATCCAAACGCACTCCTACTCCCACTTCAAAACCCACCCCAGATTTCCCACCTTCAAGTGCAAGCCCCGCATGGCCTTCGGCCTTCGTTGCTGCAGGGTCCCTCACACCCCCTCCTCTGCCCCAGTGAGCCCCAACCCCACAGGCTGGGAACAGACTAAGTCTCACTCTTTTTCTGCCTCCCCCACTGCTGGGGGTGTGGTATCCTCTCTGGGGTTCCAAATTACTGAGAATGGGACTCACCCCACCCCCCACACTGGGTGCTGTAGGATAAATGGCAAGAGGAAGGGAGCCGGCAGGGAAGGGACACCGCGATGGGGAGGCAGGGATGGTGGAGGAGGGAGGTGGTCACTAGACAGAGACCTTCGTGGGACAGATGGAGAGACGGAGCTGGAAGGAGGTGGGCAGAGCCAGATGGGCGGGCAGGATGGGGTGAGGGAGACCCAGCTCCCCGCCTGGTAACGTCAGCCTGGGTGCCGGGTGCAGGGAGCGTGCGCTGGGCCCGGCGTGCGTGAGGCGTATGCGCGCCTGGGCGCCCAGGGGCGGCACGTGCATGCCAGCCTGGTGCACGTCTCCAGGGCGGGCGGCTGGTGGGTAAGGCGGGCCGCGGGGCCGCGGAGAGGGGGCGGCCAGGCCTGTGAGCCTTGCCTGTGGAGTGGGGGCTGGAAGGGAGGGGCCTACCCACCTGACTTCCCTGGGTCGGCCCAGGGCCTCTCATTCCACCTCTTCCGAACTGACTCAGGGTGGGGAAGGGGGCCTTCCTGTGGACAGAGGGCCCTAGGCTCTGCAACAGGCTGGGGAGATGTGGAGTTTCTGAGGATGGGGGGGTGGGAGTGGAGGGTGCGTGTGGGGTTGGGGGCAGACTCCCTCCCCAAGGCCTCCCACCCCCCTCGCTCATGCTTCTCCAGATTATATTTAAATATCTCTTTTGTGCGAGGCAGGAGCTGGGCTCGCCCCTAAGAGGCGGTTTCCATGGCAACAACAATTGCCAGCTTCCGTGTGGTGAATCAGTGTTGCCATGGCAACCCCATCCTCATCTGCCCAAGGTGCTGGGAGTAGGGGGAGGAGGTGAGGGTGAGCGGAGGCGGGGTGGGAAGGGGGTCAGGAGGGGGCTGGAGCTCAGGTACCGACCCTTCTCCACTTCCCCTTGCCACCCCAGTGTGTCCCCAGGCTGAAACCTTCCCCCTCACCCCCAGCCAGCAGGGTGTGGTACCCAGGCAAAGAGAACCCAGAATGGGTGGGTGGGATCCGACTGCCCCGGTGGGGGAAGGGAGGTGTTGGTCTCCCCCTCTCCCGGGTGGTCAGGGTGTCTCTGAGGCGGTCAGCGGTGGTGGCCAGGGCAGTGGGGACCTCGGGTGGTTCTGGGGCTCCCCGGGCTAGGTTCTAATAGGAACGCCCCACATGCTTGTGGGGGGGGGGCTTTTCTCTGAGAAGGGAGAGATAAAAGCGTCCAAGGGAGGGGCCTCCCAGGGAAGGGGTCCTGGGAGCAGCCAGAGGGTTATAAGAAAGGTTTCAGAGGGAGGGGACCCCAGAGGAGGGATCAAGAAGGGGAAAGGTTCTCAGAGAGGGCAGGAGGCTCAGGGAAAGGGGACACAGAAGGGTGGGGGGCTTGGTGGAAAAGTATTCCGGGCCTTGGGGACGGGTTCTCATGAGAGGGGAGCCAACCTGGGCATTCCAGCTCTTCTGATACCCTCATGTGCCCTACATGGTGACAGTGATTCCATGCCACCCATCCACCCCCAATCTAGGGGGAAACAGAACCCGATGTCAACATGGATCCGGGGACGTGGGCTGCAGGAGCCCGTGGGGGAAAGAAGAGTGTCTGGGTGGGAGTTTTTGAACTGGGTTTTGAAGGATAAGTAGGAGTTCACCAAAGATCCCCATGTTGGGAGGGAGATTCTTTGCCAGGACCAATGGAGAAGCAAATGCCACTCTCACATTCCTCCAGTCTGTTCTCAAATGCCCAGCTTAGCTCATTCCTAGGGCTGGCAATGTTAAGAGGGATTTGGGGGGAAGATTTCTTCCTTGAATAAATTTTCAGTGCCTGGGGTTGGGGCACAAGTATCCATAACAATGTGTCCAGATGGCAGGTTACTGCACCCAAAAATGGCCATCCGTCTCCCCCCAGAATTTCAGGGGCTGTTATCAGGGCTGCTTTGGTGGGTGGATCAACCACTGCTGAGTAGCAAATGACCCCAACTTTCAGTCATTGGAAATAGCATTTTTATTTGTTCATGGTTCTGTGGACTGGCAAGCCTGGGCTGGACTCAGCTGGCTGTTTCTTCTGCAGGGCTCACTCATGTACCTCCACTTAGGTGGGGGGCGTCTCGACTGGGGTGCAAGAGCATGCTCACCAATGCTGCTGCCTCCTGGACCTCCCTCTCGCATGGTCTCTCTTCCTCCAGACCCTCCCCCAGCTAGACAGTCTCAGGGGTTCAAGAGGGCAATCATGGAAGCTGTAATGCCTGAGACCGAGGCTCCAAACTCCCACCACTTCAGTTCCCTCACATTTTGTCCCCCAAAGCCACTTGTCCAAGTCGAAGGAGTCTGCATGCAGGCACCAAAGGTGGTGGTCTTTCTTGGCCAGCACCCTAGCACACCCATGAGGCTTCCTGGAGGAAGAGACATTGCTAGTGGGTTTTGAAGCCTGACTAAGAGTTTGCCAGACGGCAAGAGCAAAGATCTGGAGGTGGGATCCGTGGCTTTGACTGGGGCGTAAGCTGCCGCTGAGGGGTATTGGGGGTTTGAGGCTGGGAAGGTGAACAGATCGGAAAGAGAGAAATACCACCCATGCTACCTTCACCCCTGACCTCACCTCGCCACCCCCTCTCTCCACAGATGGCGCGGCCGATCCAGGTGAAGCCTGCGGACAGTGAAAGCCGCGGAGGTAGTTGTCATCTGTCCATGGCTGCCAGGAGCCTCCGCCCCAAGGCTGGCGGTTGGCAGATGAACATGGGGAGCAGGGGCAGTGGGACCTGGGGTCTGGGGTCTGGCCTCCCTGCACAAATGCATGCACTAGTCACATGCTTGCTCATGTACCCAGAGGTGGCGGGAGAGGCAGAGAGGGGCTGCAGTCTGGCCAGGCCCAGGGGCCTGCAACACTCCACCGCTTACAAGAGTGCTGTAATGGGGGGCGGAGGGGAGGGAGGGTCAGAATCAGAGGGTCCCTGAGGGCTTTGGCTTGCACTGGGAGGATGGGGAGATTGTGTGCGTGACACAAAGACAGAGAGAGACGCATAACCCGTGTGCCGTACTTAGATGTGTTCATGGGCGCGCACACGCATGCGTGTTTCTGCAACTGAAGCTGTGGGCTTGCCGTGCGAATACTCCGTGGGGGCGCCTGCCTGCCTGTGTGCCAGCTGCCTGCGCGGGCGTGTGTGTTGGAGCGAGTGTGCCTGCCCGACTGGGCTCTGCTGGAGTTGTGGGGGTGTGCAGGAAGGGGCCGGGTCCAGGGTCGGGATGATCCCATGGGTGCTGGGAGAGCCTTGGCTGTCCAGAGTGGGGTCCAAGCCTGTTTTTTTCCTGAAGATTTTTGTACGCACCTGCGGGACCTGCAGGAGAATGACCAACGGGGGTGTGTGGGACAGGGTGGTTAGGGCTTCAGGGTATATGTAGGAGCGTCGTGAACCCCAGCTGAGCTGGCAGCCACTGCCACGGGCCCTCAGCCCGTTGTCAGGGCGACAGGAAGTGAGAGGGTGAAATCTGCAGTTTCCACCTGTGTATCTCTCACTCTGTCTCTCTACTTCTATCTCTTGATTTTATCTCTTTCTTTCTCTCCTCCATCGATCTCTATCTGTTCTCTCCCTCTCTGGTTCTACCCCTGCCTCTCTTTCGGTCTCTCGTGGTCTCTTTCTTTCTCTCTGATGAGATCTCTCTGCTTCTGTCTCTCTCTATGACAGTCCCTCCCACCCCCGTGAGTGACAGCTGCTGAGAACAGGTTTCCATAGGAACCCAGTTCGACCAGACTGGAAGTGAGGCTGTCTCAGGCCCCCTCCTCCCCATTACCAGGAAGCTTCACAATTACCTGAGGAGGGGCAGGCTCTGGCCCTGCCCAGGCCTCCAGGCCCCCAGGTGTATCCTTTCCCCTCCTCTCCCCAGCACGTGCTGCTGGGCCCCCTCCTGAGGTCTGGGAGATCCTCAGGTGTGGGCATCACCAGATCACCAGCAACCCCCACCCTGCCTGGAAGACCTAAGGGGAAGGCAGACAGACAGACACAGGCCATGGGGGAGTCGTGGCCCTGTGGGTGGCTCTCTGAGCGCCTGGGAGGAAGGAAGGGATTCGTCCTTGCTTGAAGCGTGGGGTTTCTGGGGCACAGGTGGGGAGTGGGAGGAGGGGCGCCCAGCCTGGCAGGAGCCTGCAGGTGGGGGCCTCAGGGAGTCTGGAGCGACCCCCTCTCCGGGCCCTGCGCACACTCTACAGTCGGGGGTGGGGAGAGGGGGCAAAGGTCCAGTGGGCCCGGGGCCTGGGGACTCGGCTGAGGTGGCGTCTCCGCCCCAGGGGACCGGAAGCTGTTTGTGGGCATGCTGAACAAGCAGCAGTCGGAAGAGGACGTGCTGCGGCTCTTCCAGCCCTTCGGGGTCATCGACGAGTGCACGGTGCTCCGGGGCCCCGATGGCAGCAGCAAAGGTGACAGGGGATCTGGTGTGAGGCGGGGCCAGACGGGCAGGGCGGGACAGGGCTGGCCTCGGGGGCGGGGCTGGTTGGTGGTGGGCGGGGCCTGGCTCCGTTGCTAGGGCCTGGTGGGTGAGGCGGGGCCAGGAGCAGGGCTGGGTGGTAGTGGCCAGTACTGGCTCTGGGGTCCAGCCTGGTTCGCCTGGCTAGAAGGAGCGGGGCCTGGACAGGAGGGCCCCGGGATGGGTCCTTGGTATGTCTGGGGGGCGGAGCTGGGGGACTGTCTGCCCTGGGCCTGCCCATCCCGATGCCCTCCATGGCCGCCCCACCTGCTGGTTTGCCTGTCCACTGCCCTTGGGGGCTGCGCTAGCCACTAGACTGGTGTGCATCACTCCGCCTGACTGTCCCCACAACCGTCCCTGCCTGTACCTGGCGGCTTCTGGTGGCATGTCACAATCCCCTTGCCCAATAAGAGGGCTTCTGCCTGACAGTGGCTGGTGGTCCCTGACCTCGTTCTTTTTTTTTTTCATTAACATATAATTCACATAACTTCAGTAAGATCCACCCTTTATTTTGTTGTAGAAAATAGACACAACCAGACATACTCCAATTCAACCACTTCTCCACGTCCAATTGAGTGACCATAATGACCTTATTTTCTGTATTGCTCCTCCAATACCCCCCCCACTCATGACCATAAACCCACTGCCCCCTAACGAAGACCATTTTTTTTGAAGTGTCCCACTAGGAGGTGTACAGCCACCGTCACCTCCTAGTGCCAACCCAACACCACACACTCCTGCCAATGAACAGGATCTCTCGTGCCATCGGCTCTGGGTGGGCCCCTGTCTAGTGGTCTCCATCTGCAGACTCTGCTCACCTGGCCGTGTTTGTTTATCTGGGTCTGGGGGTCTCTGTCTGCCCTGCCTGTCATTTCAGTTCTGTGTGTCAGCTCGGAAGTGTCAGGTGTCACATTGTCATTGGCACGTGTTCCCGATAACTGCCCGCCTGCCCCAGAGCCGCCTCAGTGTGTCCATCTTGCTTCGTTAGGCAGGACCTCGGGTGATCTGGCTGGCCGGTGCTCTGTTGAGCTGGAAGCCCTTCTGGGCCTTTCTGGTGGAATGAATGAATGAAAGGGCAACCATCTAACTGGACAGCTGTCCGTCTGGTTGTCCAACTGTCTCTCTGAGCAAATGGTGACCCAGGGTCAGAGTATTGGTCAACTTCCCGCCTTTCTGTCTGCCCATCTGTCTATGACTGCCTGCCCGGCTAGTTTTTCGGTCCAGTGGTCTGGGGTCTGGTGGCTGCCTGGCTGCCTTTCGGTCACCTGACTGTCCTTGGCTGTGTCTCTGCCGTTGAGTGTGTCTGATGCTGCCTGCTGTCCAGGCTCCCAGCCCCCTGCCCCCATGTCCCCCAGAAAGACCCCCTCACCATCTCCCCATCTCCCTATTTGGAGTAGGCTGTGCCTTTGTCAAGTTCTCCTCCCACACGGAGGCGCAGGCAGCCATCCACGCCCTGCACGGCAGTCAGACCATGCCGGTGAGTAGAAGCTGCCCTTGACCATGGGAACGGGGTGGGAGGGGTGGGGAGGCAGCGGGCACAGGTGGGGGTCTGTGCTCGCCATGCCAGGCAGCTGGAGCCCCTGGGTCTTCTTCAGAAGGGGCACAATGGTGAGAGCAAATGTGCAATGGCATGGGGATGGGTGACCGTGGCATAGGTCAGGAGGTGGGCATTGAGTGGTGAGCCCACCACAGTCATCCAATTGCTTTCTGATGCCTAGGTCAGCCTGGCTTTCTGCCTGCACTGGATTGTGTCCACCTGGGCAGGGCACAACTAGCCACGTTGGACTCTCACCTGCTCTTGGGTGCACCTCTGGGGCTGAACTTACCACCTGTGCAAATCATGGCTGCCGGTCACCCTGAGAGGCCTGGGAGGCTGGGTCTCACTAGCAGCCATGGGCTGGGTGGGTGGGAGATGGGCAGGGGGGTCATCTCATCCTATGGGGCTGAGCTGGGAGGAGTCTGGGGACTCCGAGTCCCAGTTAGCCTTGCCCCCTTTTCCCTCCCCCTCCCCCACAGGGCGCCTCCTCAAGCCTGGTGGTCAAGTTTGCAGACACGGACAAGGAGCGAACGCTGAGGCGCATGCAGCAGATGGTGGGCCAGTTGGGCATCTTGACACCCTCCCTCACCCTGCCCTTCAGCCCCTACAGTGCCTACGCCCAGGCTGTGAGTCCCCCACCCCCCATCCCAACCCCATAACTCCACCATCTATTCCTATGAGGGTCTGTCTCTGGGCATCTTAGTCAGTCTGGCTCAGGGGCCACTCCTCACCACAGCTGAGCCCCCAATTCCAGGTTGATCCCTGGGGCCCAGACCTAGCTTAGCCCCACCCCCTGAATCATGAACCAAAACTGGAACCCAGGAGACAACTCTGACACAATCCCAGGCTAAGTCCCCATATCAGGCTGAGCCCCTGTTCCTAACGAGGTCCTGGCCCCGAGCTGAACTTCAATCCCAATCGAACCCTGCGATGAACATGGTCAGCCTCACAGAGTCCATGAGCCACAGTCCAAGCCCTGGATGAGCCTCAAGATCTGTTCACCCCAATTCCAACAGAACACCACAAATCAGTCTGACTCCAAACTGAGACCAGGATATACCTGGGCTTAGCCCCTGTTGAATCCTGGGCCCAGCACCAACCTCCAAGAGAGACCTGCTCCTAACTTGAGTCCAACTTCAGGCTGATCCCTGATCCCTGACTACACGGCCCTGATGCTAAACTGAGTTCAACTGCATGCTGAGCCTTGCTCTCTGAGCCTGGATTCTAACCTGATACGAATCTGAGCCCAACTGTAGGCTGAGCACTGATCTCGGCCTTTCCCTGGATCCTAACTCGAGCCCAACTGCAGCTGGAGCCCTGTTCCTAACCTGAGCCCAACAGTAGGCTGAGTCTTGATCCTTGACTGAATCCTGATTCTAAATGAAGCTCAAATGCAGACTGAGCCCTGGCCCTTGATGGAGCTCTGCTCCTAAACTGGGTTCAACTGTAGGCTGAGCCTTGATCGCTGACGGAGCCCTGTTCCTAAACAGAGTTCAACTGTAGGCTGAGCCTTGATCGCTGACTGAGCCCTGTTCCTAAACAGAACCCAATTGCAGGCTAAGTCCAGATCCCAGACTGAGCGCTGATCCTAGATTGAGCTCAACAGCAAATTGAACCCAGATTCCTGACTGGCCTTGAACCTAGAGCCCAACAGAAGACCGATGCCTCTTCCCTGAGCCCTGAGCCCAATATCAGGCTGAGCCCCTGATGCCCCATGAAGCCTGATCCTAAACTAGGTTCACTGGTAGGCTGAGCCTTGATCCCTGACTGGGCCCTGATCTTAACCTAAGCTCAACCCTAGGCTGAGCCCCCAGTGCCTGACCTAGCTGCGACTGGCCCCAGCCCCAGCCGGGCCTCACGCCACCTCCTTCCTGCAGCTTATGCAGCAGCAGACCACGGTCCTGTCCACCTCGGGTAGCTATCTGAGCCCAGGCGTGGCCTTCTCCCCCTGCCATGTCCAGCAAATTGGCGCCGTCAGCCTCAACGGGCTGCCTGCCACGCCCATTGCCCCCGCCTCGGGTAAGTACATGGGACGTGGACCAGGTGGACATGCCGCCCCCGCCACCTCTGGCACCCCCTGACTGCCTGTGCCCCCGCAGGCCTGCACTCACCCCCGCTACTAGGCACTGCTGCCGTGCCTGGCCTTGTGGCACCCATCACCAACGGCTTCGCAGGGATCGTGCCCTTTCCTGGAGGGCACCCGGCCCTGGAGACAGTGTATGCCAATGGCCTCGTGCCCTACCCAGGTAACTACGCACAGGGGCGGGGAACAGGGACCACAGGGGCGGGAAACAGGGACCAGTCTCAGGTGCCTCTGCCATGGAGACTGGGGAGGGAGGCCTCAGCATGGAGTTAAACTGCACCCCCGCAGCATCAACAACCCCAAACTCAGCTATGCCTTCTTACGAAGAGCCCTGGTGGCCCAGTGGATTAAGGTCAGCGATCCGAAACCAGTGCCAACTCCCGGGGAGAATGAGAAGGCTGTGAGCTTCTATAGAGACAGCCAGCCGCCGGAAACCCTGTGGGACAGTTCTGTGCCCTACAGGGTCACTCTGAGTTCACATGGGCTCCCCAACAGTGGATTATTAGCTGCTACTCTTAGACACCAGCCCTGGTGGTACGGTGGTTGTGCACCGTGATGGGCTACGAGCCGTGTGGTCGGCAGTTCAAAACCACCAGCCTCTCTGCGGAAGGAAGACAGGGCTTTCTGCTCCTGTAAAGTTACAGTGTCAGAAACCCACAGGGGGTCGCTATGAGTCAGCATTGACTTGATGGCCGTGAATTTGTGCTTTTTGGTTTACTGTTACAGAAGGAATGAAGACCTATATGCACCCATTCACTCATTCATTTGTTCAGTGACGGCCCCGCCCTGGTTCGAAAGGGGCTTTGTCCTTCTGCAGTTTGGGTCCTGCTCTATTTTTTTCGCCGGCAGCAAGATTTCAGAGTAAGCAGGGTCTGGCGCCTGCCTTCTGTGGAGTAAGGCCCCAGGGTGCTTGTCCTTTGCCGTCTACCCTGCAATAACTAGGCGATCTCAGGACATTGCCAACAGGACAATGAGAGCCGTCCGCGTCCCCGGCCCCCAGCGTCCCGGAGCGCTAGCAGCTTGCGAAGCTGCCTTGCATTGCTCTGCACGGGAGATAGACGTGTTGTTGGTTAATTATCCTCGATTAGTCCATTGCCCCCTTGGGTGCAGAGAAGAACTGTGCTCTTTGGGGTTTTTAAGGTTGTGACCTCTAGTAAACCTTGAACTCTGTGGGCCTGTTCAAGGGCAGATCATTTAGTGGGTAAGGTAGTGCTTAGCCATCCGCACCACTGGGGGTGTGTGTGTGTGTGTCTCCATGCCTGGTTCATGTTCCATCACTTTTTACAAGCATTCCCGTGTGTGTGTGTGTGTGTGTGTGTGTGTGTGTGTGTGTGTGTGTGTCCCTATCACAGGTACACAAGGGTCAATCAACCAGCGCTGCTAGCAGGCCCCCCTCATCCATGCAAAGGTGTGTCCCAGACAATTCAACAGGTCTCTTCCTTCCGGTGTCGCTCAGTCTTAGGGTCCCTTCAAAGGAAAAAAGAAAAAGTCCTACAAAACCGTGCCTTCAGAGGGGTCTGCCGGGCCAGTTCAACTCAAAGCAGAGGGGCCCGCTCAGAAGGTGATGGAGAATCCTTTTTTTTTTAAAGGAAATTGAAAATGGCATTGGGAAGAACAGGTTGGCAGAGTGGCACTGAGAATTTGTCTTCCTTCTAATAAACTTGCTCCTTTTAGAGCAGCGGTTCTCAACCTGTGGGTCGCGGCGACCCCTTTGCGGGTCGAACGACCCTTTCACAGGGGTTGCCTGATTCCTCACAGTAGCAAAATGACAGTGATGATGTAGCAATGAAAATCATTTTATGGCTGGGGCCACCACCACATGAGGAGCTGGATGAAAGGGCCGCGCAGTCACTCGCAGCATCAGGAGGGTTGAGAACCACTGCTCTAGGGAGTAGCAGGGCGTGTCCCAAGAGGATTCGGTGAGGAAACCCAGCCACTGCCCGCCTTGGCCCCGACCTTGGCCCTTCAGACTTCATTTCCCAAACTCAAAGAACACGGAAAAGGAACACAGCCGAGGTCCCTCAGAGCTGTCCAAACTGTGTGTTGGATGGGGTACAAATTGCAGCGGGCAGAATTCTTCTAGGGAAGGCTTACAGAGCTGGAAAGTGCCTTCAGACCTAGAAGGTGGAAGGGGGGTGTGGATTTTTGAGAAACAATAGCTTCCCACTTGGAGACTTTTCTTTAACAAAGAGTGCTTTCTGATTCACCCTCAGATTCATGTCACTGCCACCCCCACGCCCACAGAGACTCCCCTTCCTGCTACCCCCTACCACCACCCCCATTTGGCAACCCCTCTCCACTCCAGTAGGCACATTTGGCCGAATGTTTTCTTAAACTCTGCCGTGTCCAAGGTTCTCCACCCACCTCTCCTGCGCCACCATGAGGTGCAGCCTGGAACTTCAAGGTCCGAGAGGCTGGAGATGGGAGGATGCACAGAGGTTGACAAACGCAGAGAATGGAGGGGCGAGGGGAAGGGATCCCCTAGGGAGGCGAGGGAGGGAGGACAGAGAGAGAGAGAGAGAGAGAGAGAGATGGAGGTGCTGGTGAGACTTCTTCGCAGTCTGGCAAACCCCTGGGTCTGGTTCAGATCCTGCCATGTCCTACCTGAGTGGTCCTGTGCCCGGCAGACACTGCTCTGAGCCTCTGTTTTGCTCCCCTGTCAAGTGGGTGCAGACCAGGGAAGGGTGTCTGGAAAAGGTGGATCTGGGTAAATCCTTGTTGGCCTTCCTCCGCTGCTTGGGGAAGAGGGAGGGCTGGCTTCTTGCTACCCCCGCCTCCACTCTGAACCTCCTCTTGCCCACAGCTCAGAGCCCCACGGTGGCTGAGACACTCCACCCTGCCTTCTCTGGAGTCCAGCAGTACACAGGTAGGAGTGGCCGGCTGGCCACGCCCCTCAGTCTGACCACGCCCACCCAGGACTAGCCCCACATTCTCACTGTGGCCCCGTCCACTACAGGGTATACCTCGGGCACCGCCCTCTCATGGTCACCGCTAATCTTCTCTTTGTTCCCCTTTTCCCCTGGCTTTCCTGGCCGCAGTTCCTGCTCCTCAGAGTCCACCTGCTCCCTTGACCCTTCCTGTTGCCCAGAATTCCGGTTCGGTCTCTGCTAACACCCCGCCCTCACTTCTGACCCGCCTTGCGTCCCTCGCGTCCTGCCTCCACCTTCTCCCCAACACTGAGTCTCGCCCCGTATGCCACTGAGCTCCCCCCCAGGATGCTCTGGCTCCCCCCAGCATGGTCCTCGCTCGGGTTCATTCCTCCCCACCTGAGTCCCGTGTTCATGACTCCCTCCCATCCGAACTCGGCTAGGCTCTGCCCTCTGGGACACACCGGGTCTCCCACCCAGGTCTGTTTCATGAATCCTGCTCCGGCCTCAATCCCTAATATGATAGAGTTCACTTCCACGGTGACCCTCCCCATGACCTCCTGACCCCGCCTATTACCTGACCCACCCTTTTGTCTAGACCCGCCCATCAAGTGCCTCACTGGGCCACTTCCCATCTTGGCCGGACCTTGATGTACGGGACATGCTCCCCACTGTATCCCCTGCACTAGGTCCCCGCCTGGCCCCAGGGTAGTCCCAGGTCCACCCTATCTTCGCTGGCCCTGCACGTGTCGCCTCGATCCCCCTAAAACCCGCCCTCCACCGTGGGCCACCCTCAACCCAGTCACACATCCTCAGCCAATCACTATGTGGTCCTGCCCAGGTCTGCTTAGTGCTAGGGTCCCGCCCAAGCACCTGAGCTCCAGCCTGCTAAACTAGAGCACCTACCAGGCTTGTTATCGGCTGTAGCCCCACCCTCCACTCTGGCCCTGCCCTGCATCCAGGCCCGCCTACGTTGTGAGCCCACCTCACCCATTGTGGCCGCACCCAGGACACCCAGGTCCACCCTCTGCTTTGGCCCCACCTCACCACGCCGGAGCCGGCTTAGACCCACTCTCCACTCTGGCCCCGCCTTACCCCGCTGCAGCCCCTCCCCACCGCACCAAAGCCCTGCCCAAGCCGGCTCCCCGCGGAGGCCCCGCCCACCTGTGCCTTAGCCACGCCCACACGCACCTTAGCCCCGCCCGGTTCCCGCCCTCATCCGTGGCCCCGCCCCACGCGGGGCTGCCGGACCTCACGGCCGCCTCCGCGTGTCTCCCTGGTCTCCGCAGCCATGTACCCCACCGCGGCCATCACGCCCATCGCCCACAGCGTGCCCCAGCCGCCGCCCCTCCTGCAGCAGCAGCAGCAGCGAGAAGGTGAGGCGGCCGCGACCTCCCCGGGCACAGCCCCGTCCCGCCTGCTCCCGCACCTGCTGGCCCCGGGGCCACGGGGCCACCGCAGGGTTCTGGGTGCGAATCCCCTTGGGGCACCGAGACTTCCGGGCAGCTGAGTCGCCCCACTCGGGCCTCAGTTTCCTCCTCACGAAGGCAAGACCCGTGCTGGCCCCGCCCCCGCTGAAAGGTAGTGGGAAGGGCTGCAGGTAAAGACGCTGAGAGCCTAGAGCATCTATCTTCTCCCAGCCTCCGTCACCATCGTCAGCTCTCCGGGGTTGGCGAGAGGACCGTGTTTTGAGCTTGGGGAGCTTGGGGTCAATGAGTGGTCTCCAGGTAAAGGCTTTGTGGGGGAGGTGTTATAATCTGAAGCCCTACGAACATCCTTGCTGACTTGTGACCTCATGAGGAAGGCCCCTAAATGCCGCGTGCCTCAGTTTCCCCACCTGCACCGTGGGCGGCCATTCTCCTACTCCTTCCAACTTTAACCTCAGCTGTGGGTAAAAGCTAATATAAATATGGTCAGCACTACCAAAACAGCCGTGGAGTCCCGGTGGCCCAGTCAGGTAAACATTGGACTGCTAAGCTCAAGGTCAGTGGTTCAAGCCTACCAGCCGTCCTCTAGGAGAACGATGAGGCTGTCTGCTCCTATAAACATTTACAGCCTTCAGAACCCTACATAGGGTCCCCGTGACTCAATCAACTCCGTGGCAGGGGGTTTGGTTTTGGCATTTGTGTGTGCGCGCACTGTCTTAAACATGATCGTGGTGTGCAAAGTTGTGCAATAAAACTCCGGGGCTGTGGGCACACCACTCCAAAATGTCCATCCGTGGTACTCTAAAGAGAAAGGCAAAGGCAAAGGCGGGGCCTAGTGAAAATGATAGCTTTGTTTTATCATCCTTTGTGTTAAATGATTAAGAAAGGTGTTCCTACTACAACAACTATCACAGCTTCCTTGGAAAAGACCTGAAGTTTCCACATGCCTTCGGCATTGGAGGTATTCCAGTTTGTGGATGGAAGGATCACAGAGGGAAATTGGTGTGGCTCTGAACAGACTGAGATTACTAATGAAATGGGTCAATGTTTGGGGTGGGTGGGTGAATGCATTTGTGTTTTCTTAGGAGGTTGGGCTCAGCTGGTACGGTTTTCTGCATTCCCCCCAGGATCCCTGTGGATGACAGTCATGTGTAAGCAGAGACAACATTCCCGTTATGCTCAAAATGTTTCCTAATGAATCGATCATGCTGGAACAACCCACATTTTGAAAATAAGCAGAATTATAGATATATAACCTTGGATTTATCATTTTGCTAGGAATAACTCTGTGGCTTGAGGATGTACTCTTGTTTGCGGGTGTGTGCCTAGGAGCAAGCCATCTGTAGGTGTTAGATTAGCAGTAGGCTTGGGGAATGTCTCTGGCTTTGGATCATCTGTGTTCTGAAATGCTATAATTATTTGTACTTTTCAATTTGCCACACATTGGAGACTATTAGGGAGGAAGGGATGATTTTGAGGGTGGTCTAATGCTCTTTGAAAAAGTAATTTCTGGTTATTATGTTATTTTCTAATTATCTGTTTCAGGATAGCTGGTAGTTGGGGACTGAAGAATTATCTCTTTATTTGACTTAGTTAATTTTTTGCATCATTAGAATGTTGAAGATTATCCTAGGTTTGAGGGTTACCAAGAGTTTTCTGGGTAGCTGAGGTTTAGGGTTGGGGAATTGCTTGCTTAATTTTATTGTATGATCATTGGCCATTTCCAGTGAACTTTTAATTTGAGAACAGCTTGAGATTTACAGGACTGTTGAAAAGATTGCTCAGAGAGTTCCTGCATAAGCATACCTGGCTCGCTGGACTTTGCAAATGACCTTTGACTTGGGTGTCTCTGAGGTTCAGGATTCCTTCCCCCCCAAGACATCAAGATCATAGGGCCTGGGATTGGGACATGATCTGGGTTTTAGGGGAGGATAGAGGTCAGAGGTCACTATGAGTGGGAATCGACTGGATAGCAGTAGTTGGGGTTTCTTTTTGGAGATCAAAGGTGGGGGACAGTGGTGGCAGTCCACTTCCATAGGATGATGGTCTTGGCAGCCTTATGGGGGGCAGTGCTGCCCTGCTCTGTAGGGTTGCTAGGAGTCTGCCCTGCTCTATAGAGTGCTAGGAACCTGCCATGCTCTATAGGATTGCTAGGAGTCTGTCCTGTCCTATAGGGTGCTAAAAGTCTGCTCTGCTCTATAGGGTGCTAGGAGCCTGTCCTGTCCTATAGGGTGCTAAGAGTCTGCTCTGCTCTATAGGGTGCTAGGAGCCTGTCCTGTCCTATAGGGTGCTAGGAGTCTGCCCTGCTCTATAGGGTGCTAGGAGTCTGGTCTGTGCTATAGGGTTGCTAGGAGTCTGCCCTGCTGTATAGGGTGCTAGGAGTCTGGCCTGCTTTATAGGGTGCTAGGAGCCTTCCCTGCTCTATAGGGTTGCTTGAAGTCAGAATTGACTTAAGAACAATGGGTTGGAGATCAAAGTACAGGTGTGCAGAGGGTTAGTGAAGAGGCGGAAGGCCCACCCAGAGATGGGTGGCTGAAACAATGGGTCCCATCATAACCATGGTGAGAATGGTGCAGGAGGACATGCCACCTTTTTGTTCCTTGGCTCCTGGGGTGGCAGAGATGAGCTGGCATCCAGGGGTTGCCGTTGGGTTCGGGGCTTCCCCAGCAGTGCAGAGCAGTCACGTTTGACGTCCCGAAGTGAGGGCGTGCTGCGCTCCCTGCCTCCCCTACCTCCCCATTTCCACACCCCTCTGCCACAGCTGCAGATGGCCAGATGTGGGCTCTGGACCCCTGCCCCTCCCTGGGGGGTGGTCCGCCTCCTCTCCTTGGGGGCTTGATGTCTTTCTCTCCCCCACCTGCAGGTCCCGAGGGCTGTAACCTGTTTATCTACCACCTCCCCCAGGAGTTTGGAGACACGGAGCTGACCCAGATGTTCCTGCCCTTCGGCAGTGTCATCTCCTCCAAGGTGTTTATGGATCGGGCCACCAACCAGAGCAAGTGTTTCGGTGAGTCCTGTGCCCGCCCTGTCCGAAGCCCCCTGTGGAGCCCAGTGCGTGTGGCCAGTCACCCTGCAGGCCGCGCTGGCAATCTGCCATACGGCAAAATCCAAGCAAGTGCAACTAACCGCCCCTCATGTGAGGGCCAGCCACATGTGTGCCATCCCTAAGACTTGTGCATTCATTCATTCACTCACTCACTCATTCATTCTTTGTACGCATAGAGTCTTGACGGTGTGCAAACACGTTCCGTGTGCCTTGCACCCTACACTCACTCACTCTGTCAGCAACCACACGCAATGAGTCTATTCCTATGTCCCGACCATTCCTTCCGTCAGTCCCTCTTTCGGTCTGTGTGTCCATGGCGATCTCACTGCCCTTGAGTGGTTCCCGACTCATAGCGACCAAACAGGACAGAGTAGAATGGCCCCTGTGGGTTCCCGAGACTGTCGGTCTTCCCGGGAGCAGAAAGCCTCATCTTCTTCCAACAGAGCAGCTCAGGGTTTCCAACTGCTGACTGTGCAGTGAGCCCCGCTTGTCAACCAAGACACCACCAGGATGCAGATGTAGACAGACACGCAGTGCGAGTGGGCGTCTTCCACGCACCATTCATGCTTCGGCTCATTCAATAAATGTGTTTGAAAACAAGCAAAGAAACTTAAGCTTACTGCCATCAGATCAGTCTGCCTCACGGCTGCCCTTGTGGCTGAAGCAGAGGGCGAAAGGGAGAGGGAGGAAGACAGCGGGGCAGGGCCCTGTGGGCTACAAGGGTTCCATTCTTCTCCTTAGAAACAGAGGCCATTCGACTCAGAGATGGGCTGCAGCCTGTTCAAGGTCTCAGAGCCGGAGCGAGGCAGAACGTAGATTACAACCAACCTGCCTCACTCCGAATCCCTAACTCTTAACCCACACTGTCCTGTCTGAAGTGCCCAAACTTGACCGTTGATGGAGCACCACACCCTGGGCACACCTGGTACCAGCCAGGGTAGGGAAGAGCCATGCCAGTTTACAAGCTCAGCCCAGAATGCCCAACAGCGTACTCATAGTTGCACCAAGAGCCAGTGCCCCTTGCCCTCCAGAGCCCACCCTGCAACCTCTGCACCCCGCTTTCAGGAGAAGGAGAGTTGAGTCCAGACCCCTTCAGCAGCATATTTTGAGGGGCACCGCCTTCCCTGAAACTCAGTGTCCTCCCCCGACTCCAATCTCCTGGATAGTCCTCCCTCCAATGCCCTGGGAGCTTGGACAGGACAGAAAGCAGAGTGTCAGAGAAGAAACTTGCCTTTGGGGCTAAGGGCCTGTGCACACCACAGCCGCCTCCTCTCCTCCAGACCAGAACTAGATGGTGCCCGGCCACCGCTGCATCAGACAGACCCCGATCGAAGGGGAGGGGAATGGGCAACGGAACTGCCAAGTTGTAGAAAGCCCAGGTGTTCGGATAACTACCCGAGACTGGTGTTGTCCGTGAGACTGTCACCCCGTGATGTTCTTTAAGCCTTGAACCCCAAAGCTTCCCCCTGAGATCAGCTTTGAGCGGAATAACAGATGGGCCCGGAGAACAAAGGCCCATGAGGATGTTGCTACATGGACAAGAA